CCCAACTATTTTTATGCATTGAAATCTTTCCTAATAAAAATAAATATAAAATAAAATAAAATAAAAATAAAAATCTGGACCCTGGAGTCTGAAAGACCAGGTTCCAGTCGCCCTTGTGCTCGCTAACTATCTGAAGTTTGACTGGGTGTTTCCCATCCTGTACAAGGACAGCTGGAGCTCCCCCATGGGCATCATGTGCAGCCCCGTGCTCTCATGGTGCCTGGGACAGGGAAGCATTTATGGGCTTCTGCCCCCAGGAAGCCCACCCTGATGCTCTTCTTCCCTGACCTCCCATCCCCACAGCATTTCCGTCCCGCAGTCTCTTTGCCACCAAGCGACTAACCACCATGAATGTGTCAGATACAGGCTTTGTCTTCTCTGTATTTGAAAGCAGGATCTGTGCGGGGGGCTTTCCCGGGCCCCCTCGACAGCCTGGGCCCATGGGAGCAGCAGTGGCATGGTGCATGGGACCTGCACCTACGTTATCTCATTTTGATTCTTCAAACAACCACATAATCAGAAATTACAGATCTCCTTTTAGAAATGGAGCTCCTGATGCTCAGGGAGGCAAAGTGTCTTTTCCAAGGTTAGCAGGAGTCAGAGAGGGGAGGGGTAACCCAGGGTCCAGCACTCTGCCATGCTCTCGGTGTGGGCCTATGTGCAGTGAGGGTGCAGACCCAGTGATGAGGACCATGGTCGGCCACATGAAACCCATGGGAGCACCCCGAGTTCATCCTATTGTGAACAACCATTTGGTCGACCAGGGCCCTTCTGAAGACCCAGCTGAGAGATCCAGCCCCAGCCTACTGGCCAGTAGGGAAAGCCAGCAGTGGGCTTGCTGAGAACAAAGCCCTTGGAAAGACGTTCTCCATTTTCCTAGGAAGCAGGCTGGCCTTATTCTAGGGTCCGCTGGAGCCCAGCCCAAGGAGGCAGGCTCATTGGAAGAATGGGCCTGCTGAGTGCAGGTCCCAAGCCGGAGGGCTGGGCTCAGGGCAGTCCCCCCTCCCCCCCTCCTCCCACCCCCTGCAGGATGCTGGGCTGTGAGGGGCACCGGTGGGATATGTTCAAGGAGAATACAGGTGCCTCCACCAAGAGCCTTGACCACAAATGCTTCTTTGGGCACATACGCCCTGGGGAATGGGGCAATGGGGAGATGGGATGGGGGGAGAAAGGCAGAAAACGGGGCAGTGCAGAAAGTGGGGGAGGGAGTAGGGAAAGAGTGGAGGAGATTTGGAGGAGGAAGAGTCGTGAAGTCAGATGGGAAAATAGATCCAGGTATATCCAGCCGCTGCGGGCTCCACCCAGGGAAACATGGGTGTCACAGGAGGGCTCCCGAGAGCCCGTCAGGTCAGCTGGCCTCAGTGTCACCAGAGCTCTGGAACAAGGCATTTCTCAGGAGGCCCGTGGGATGCTCCCAGCCATGGCAGACCCAGGCTGGGGGCCCTGAGGACCTGGGTGCAGGTCCCACCCCTGAACCTGCAGGGCTCTGGGGCGTTCATAATAAGGGGGAGTGGGAGCCCAGCTCTTCCTCTCCTGCTTTCTATTCTGCTCTGTGAAGTGGGCATCCAGATGGGGCCAGGCCTGGGCCAGGCATATCACAGCATCTTGGCATTGACTCCTCCGCCCTCTTGGAGGCAGTGGGGATTATTGGCCTCCTTTATGTAAGAGCAGACAGAGGTAGCACAGAGAGGTTAAGTGTTTTTCCCAAGTCACACATTGAGGCAGCAGCAAAAAAGGCACTGCATCTGGGGCTATGTGGCTCTAGTCTGGCTCTTGTTACCCTTCCCCTCACAGCCACCCAAGAGACCCTGCAGTGGAGTCCGCACTGGGAGGAGTGTGGTGCTGAGCCATTATCAACGGGCCTGGGTCAGCCCATCCCAGGTGCCAGGCCAGGGGCTGTCCTTGGAGCAGAAAGAGAAACTGTTGTCCTGCTCACCAGATGTGGGCTAAGAAGTGACTCCCCCAGCCTCTTGTGCTGGGGAGGCTGAATCACACTGCCTGTCTCCCCACCGGGGAGGGGGGGGGTCCCCGTTGGGGAGGGGCCGGAAGCCCAGCAGGTCTTCCCCCCCCCCCCCCCCCCCCCCACCCCCCCACCCCCGGCATCTGGGACTCATGCAGGTTGCCCAGGAAGAGCAGACACCAGTCTGCAGTCCGGCTCAGAGGCCCTGGGGTCAGCACCTTCCATCACGATGCTGAGACTGTCTTCTGGGGAAGAGAGAGCCGGTGTGACACGGTGGAGACTAGTCCCTGAGGGAGAGGTGTTGGCTATTCATGGGCTCTGAGGAGTCTGGGGCTGAGGAGTCCAAGTTGAGTCGTGCCCTGAAGGCTAACGGGCTGGGCAGGAAACAGGGGTGAAGACCTTCCAGGCCAGGGATGTACCAGCAAAGAACAGGAGATAGAATTTCTCTTTTTCTTTCATGGGAACTGTGGAATCTAGAATGTTCTACCTGGAAGGGACAGAGAAATTCTTAGCACTCCCCTATCAGATTGAATTTTTGCCAGGTCTCTGCTATATTTTTCATGCTATATTTTTGTAATTGATTCATTATTTTTTAACTTAGCCTTATTAGCAGTGATATCTGTGAAATTATGGATTTGGCATGCATGTTATATTATTTCTAATGCAAATTAAAATAAACCTGTAACTACTAAAATTAAACACTTCATCTCTGCACCGTGTAAGGGGATCGAGAGTGAGCACCTGGGACCCCAGCCTGGGCATCGCTGATGTAATCCTGATTCGGAGTTGATGTCCTGAGCGAGCAAGGGAGGTCTTGCAGATAGCAGTGCTCATTGGGCTGTGGTCCGTGTCCCACAGGACTTTGTCCTGAACAGTCCTGACAGACCTGGGCAGGGACCAGAGCAGACAGATTGGAGTGGGTGGCAGTGTGGGCTGAGGTGGGGAGGGAGGAAGGAGTGATGAGCAGGGAAAGGCCCCCCCATCCCCGCAGGGTGCACAGTGACCCAGGCAGAGGAGAAGATGGAGGTAGGGGACAACCCCCCACCCCCCAACCCCAGGCCAGTGGGAAAAGGATTTGCCTGCAGGTGAGAGACACTCCCTGGGAATCTCCTTATGGGAGCTGAACTCCTTCCTTCAGTCACAAGAAAACTTCGAAGCTGGGCTCCTGGCTTTATTTAAATCAAATGCAAAGTTTTGATTTCAGATTCCCAGAGTTGGTGTCCTGATTCTATGGTGGGGCTTCCTTTTGTTTTTCCCTCCCATGGAAATTTCCTGTAGGGAAATCATCCTTGCCTCATCTGTCCCAAGATGCATTGGAGATAACAGGAGAGTTGGCAGGAAGGGGAAGGCATGGATCATGGCAAAGTTGGGCCAGCAGCATATCCATTTACAAAGGGCTCTTGAGGGGCGCCTGAATGGCTCAGTTGGTTAAGCGTCTGCCTTCAGCTCAGGTCATGATCCCAGGGTCCTGGGATTGAGCCCCACATTGGGCTGCCTGCTCAGAAGGACGCCTGCTTCTCCCTCTCCCTCTGCTCTTCTATCTGCTTGTGCTCACTTGTTCTCTCACTCTCTCTCTCAAATAAATAAATAATATTTAAGATTTTATTTATTTGACAGACAGAGATCACAAGCAGGCAGAGAGGCAGGCAGAGAAAGGAGGAAGCAGGCTTCCTGCTGAGCAGAGAGCCCAACGCGGGGCTCCATTCCAGGACCCTGAGATCATGACCTGAGCCGAAGGCAGAGGCTTAACCCACTGAGCCACCCAAGCGCCCCTAAATAAATAATATTTAAAACAAACAAACCAACGAAAACAAAGGGCTCTTGAGCTCTAGCTGTGTGCCAGGTCCTGGCTGGGTACTGGCAGTGGCCTGTTGCACTTGGAGGCACATCTACTGGGAGAACACCTATTCGGGTTCTGTCTGTGAAGGTGACCATTTGTAGGGCTTCTCTCTAGGAGAATCCATCCTTCAACGAAACTGGACTCCACCGTGGGCTGCCCACTCATTCCTCCTCCCCCCCCCCCCCGTGCACATCTGTAATCTGGGCTGCATGGCACAGGATACACATGCAGTAGGGGACAACTGGTTGCTTGATTGGAATGGGTGTTATTGATGGTGGGTAGAGAAGGGTTGGGCTCTCAGACTTTAATGTGTGTCTTTCTCGCTGGGTGTTTCCTGCAGGTGGGAGAAAAGCGGAATTAAAATCTAATTTCTGGGCCCATCCCCCAGATATTGGGTTCAGTGGGTCTGGACTGGGACCCAGGGATCAGCATTTCTCACAAAGAATGTGCGAGGCTCAGATGAGCCTTAGACCACACACTGAAAAATCTTGCTCCGAAGAATATTCTGGTGTAGGAAAGAGTCTCAGATTTCCAGTTAGGAGGCCTGTGTTCAGGGCTCTACTTATTAGCTGTGTGGCCTTGGACAAGTCACTTAACTTCTCTGTGCCTGATGATGAAAATGATGATTTCTGAGGGTGCATTTGTGGATTAGAGGCTTTTGAGAGAACCAGAGAAGAGGATGATAATAGGTGGTCATTTGTCTCTTTGTACATAAAAAAGGGAAATCTCCCCCCATCCTCACCATAAAGGGGGACATCTCCCCCCATCCTCACCAACAGCAGTGTTCTTTGTCTTTGGGGCCACCAGCCTCCTCTGTCTGTACCTCCCATACTGAATTGAGTACAACCTTTGAGAGGCAGGAGGCAGCCCATATGTGTTGTTGAGGGGATGGTCTGCTCTGTCACATGCCATGTCCCTAGGAAGTGAAAGGACCTTACATCATTTCTGGAAGGTGGGATGGGAGTGTGCACCAAAGGCAGGAAATTCCTGTACGAGTGCCCGCATGCCAGTTTTTGCTCTTGTAGGACTTTAATAAGAGAGGAAGTTCTCCAGCAAAGGGCCGGGCACACAGAGGGCCCCACATTCCTGGAAGCTTCTTCCCCTCTCTCCACTTTCTCCCCACTCCCCACCCGGTGCCCAGCCCAGGCCCTTCTGGAAGCAGTGACCTGCCTGACACTTGTCTCTCCTGGTCCCTCACAGATGTCCTGGCGTCCACAATACCGCAGCTCCAAGTTCCGGAATGTCTACGGGAAGGTGGCCAACCGGGAGCACTGCTTCGATGGTATCCCCATCACCAAAAATGTGCACGATAACCACTTCTGTGCTGTCAACGCCCGCTTCCTGGCTATTGTCACCGAGAGCGCGGGAGGTGGCTCCTTCCTGGTCATCCCTCTGGAGCAGGTAGGACCCGCAGCTCCCTAGCCCTGGCTGCTGTCCGGAGCAGGGAGAAGCCCTCTTTGGTCACTCTTGCCTCCATTTCTCTCTGTGCCCCCCGCCCTTTTACCATCTCATCATGTGTCCGGTGGCTGTGCCCTCCCCCGGGTTTTCCCGAGATTTGCCAGAAGAAGAGCAGGCCAGGATCCAGGAGACCTGAGATCTGTTCCCAAAACTTCCCCAAAGATTGCACTTGAACAAGTCACTTCCCTTCGGATACATGGGGTTCCCGTTAACACTAGGGATTGGAACATCTGATCTCCAGGTGATTTCCAAGACCAGGTCCTGCTCCACAATTTTGTGTCCTGGGTTGTCCTTTTTGGTGTGGAGCTAGAAGGGTTGAAGACCCAGCCGTAGGCACATGGGGCATCTGCAGAAATGACACCCTCATTAAAAAACATTGTGAGCTCCCTCCACTGAGAGGCTAGAAATAATTCACCTTCCCTCTCATCCCCACTTCCTAGATAAAGGTTTTCCCTCTTCTGTGGCTGCCTTTGTGAATATAGCAAATTAAATCTGCAAAGCCTAGATCATGAAATTTTGAAGCTCTGTGTTCAGGCAGTCACTGGAGGCCCGTGGGAGGTCACGCGCCTCAGGGAAAGTGCTCGCTGTCAGTCTCGCTTGTTTATGGCTGAGCTCTCCCTTCCCGGCCTGACTCATCTCCACTCCCACCCTCCGCCAAACCAAACCACTCAGGGGAGGAGGAGGTACAAGCGGAAGGAAGCCTTCGTTCTCAAAATCTACCGTCAGCTGGTGGTGGAGGATGGATTTTTCCAGTCTCTCCTGCCCACAGTGGGGGAACACAGATTTGGGAAAGCCTCAGGCCATAGCCTCCCTCCCACCAAAGGGGGCACAGCCGCAGTGACACTGAGAGGTGTGAGGACAGAACCCGATGGACAGAGAGGTCTGAGGAGCCATGGCCTCAGTGGCAGGGTTCCAGCTGGCTCTGCCACTTGCCAGCCACTGTGATCTCAGGCGAGTCACTTAACCTCTCTGCACCTGATCCTCCTGTAATGGTAAAACAAGGATGCTGAATCGTCCTCCGTCTACATGTACCATGTTGGCATGGAGTAGGACGATAGACATGGAAGCTCCTTGTGAACCACAGGGGATGTTAAAGATGCTTGGGTATTTTCCTGGAAACATCTATTAGCTCTGCTCATGGACTTTGCCTACAGATGCCCACAGCAGCTCTAACACATTTAGAAGGATTCTGAAATATACCTTGTCTCCCCTCTCAAACCAGATGGGCTCAGACACCTGTCTACCCTAACTAAGCTCCAGCCCACGTCAGGTCCCCAGCCAAGTGTGGCTTGGTCCTTACAGGGGTTCAAGACCAATGCGAGCACACACTCCACTGTGTGGCTTTCCAAGGTCAATAGGCAGTACCTCATGCTGTAACAATTAATTCCAGATGTGTTAAAGGTCTAACCATTAAAAGAAAAGAGAAAGAAGAAAAAAGGAGAGAAGAAAAGTTGCATGTACATTATAGGAAAAGAGAGGATTTTTAAAATCATGCAATGAGGAAAGTCTTTGTAAACAAGACAAGAATCCCAGAACCATAAAGGAAATGAGTAATAGATTACAACAAATTTTTTTTAAAAAGTAAAGTTACTATACTACTATACTATTACTATACTACTACTATACAACGTGTGTACTACTATACATGTAAGGCAACTTAAAAGCAAACCCCATAACTGATACAGACAAAAGATCCATGTTCAAATAGCTAAGTATTCCAGAAAAATCTATGAGCAAAAGAACCCTGTAAAAAACAGGTAAAGGAGGGGTGCCTGGGTGGCTCAGTGAGTTAAGCCTCTGCCTTTGGCTTAGGTCATGATCTCGGGGTCCTGGATTGAGCCCCGCATCGGGCTCTCTGCTCGGCAGGGAGGCAGCTTCCCCCTCTCTCTCTCTGCCTGCCTCTCTGCCTACTTGTCTCTGCCTTCTCTCTCTCTGTCAAATAAATTAAAACAAAACAAAACAAAACAAAACAGGTAAAGGATATGAATAAACAGTTCACAGAAGATGAAAATAAGTCTTTTAGCCTACTAAAATAGGAAAAGATTTAAAAGACTAATTATCTTTGGTATTGCTGAGTGTGTGAGAGAACAGGTGTCCAAATACGTTCTTAGCGTATTTGAGGTATTTAAATTTGATGTATTTGATGTACATTTGATTTACATTGATGTATTTTATTTGATGTATTTACATCAAATTTATAGGTAACTTGGAAATAGCTATTAACATGTAAATGTACATGTCCACGGGCCTAGCAATTCCACTTCTAGGAATCTATCCAACAGAAACGTTCTCAAGGATACCCATAATGTTTGTATCATTTTTCAGTACTCCATTTTTTTCCAATTTATTTTCTACAGAGATCAAATTTCTCTCTCAAGTTGCTTAAAAATTTCTAAACTCTTCTCTTCGTTTTCTATAATGGTACCAGAGAGTTTTATATTATCAGTAGCACTAGTCTAGAATGTGATCGGATTTTGTAAACACTTTAGGGACAGCAGGGAAAAAGGTATTTTTTACAGAGTGTGAGACTCTGCATAGAGATAAACACTGTATCCAAACACATACATATAAAGCCAAGGCACACAGAGCCTTTCAACTTTATTTGTTCATATATTGTGACACATTGTGTTGGATTTGATTGCTAAGGAACAGGTAGTAATGGCTCATTCTACCAATTGGTTACTGTCAGTTTCTCTGAATCCAGTAGGTTTTCACTTTACATAAGTGCATGATGGTTTGTGCAGCCCTTTTATAATAATGAAAATTGGAAGCAACCTGCAGGTCTATCAATAAGGAAATGAGGAAAGCATTAGGGAACATCCAAATAAAGGGATACTAAGCAGTCATCAAAATTGGTGATGTACAATGGTTGTTCCCAAGTGCTCAGCTCAGAATCAAAAGTATTGAGGATGTCAAAGGGCTTTTACTTGGATAAATTCTCTATCAATATTTGGCATATTCAAAATAAAAAAGAAGGAATTTCAAAAATATCTATTTGTTAATTCATTTAAAATAACATTAGGGGTACCTGGGTGGCTCAGTCAGTTGAGCCTCTTGGCTCAGGTCATGATCTTGGGATTGCGGGATCTGGCCCCACTTTGGACTTTGCACTTAGCACGGAACCTGTTTGAGATTCTCTCCCTCTCCCTATGGCCCTCCCACTGCTCTCTGTGTCTCTCAAATAAATAAATAAATAAATAATATCTTAAAAAAAATTAATGAACCCATTTCATGTTCTCCCAAGAAACATTTTATGAAAAATAACTATTTTCCAAAACACAAAAGAATTAATGAGAAGAAAGGCATTGCTTTACCCTTTTGCAAGTCTCTTTAAGTTAGTCTGGCTTAATAGAAGATTTGCATGTTATATATGTGTATATTGAAAGATTTGCATGTTTACTTTTGCATTCAGCCTCTTTTAATACCAGGCACGTAGCCTCTGGAAACTCCACTCTATGCTCCTGAAAGAATGGCAGTGAAAAAGCAAATAATATCCTTGTATTATTAGAAAAATTGTTTCAACCCAACAGAATCCTTGAAAGTCTTAGGAATCCCCAGGGATCCCCAAACATACTTTGAGAACCACTGATACTGGGGAGTATTTCATGAGAGAAAATTTTATGACATACTGTTAAGTGAAACAAAAAGAAAAACATAATTAATCCCGTCAGGAAATTTCTATCTGGGGTGCCTGGGTGGCTCAGTGGGTTACATGTCAGACTCTTGGTTTCGGCTCGAGTCATGAGCTCTGGAGTCATGAGGTCGAGCCCTGTGCTGGGCTCCAAGCTCAGCTGGGAGTCGGCTTAAGATTGTTTTCCTCTGCCCCTCCCCTGTTTGTATGTGCTCACTCTCTTTCTCTCTCTCTCTCTCTCTCTCAAATAAGTAAATCTTTAAAAAATAAAAAAAGGGAATTTCTATCTATTCATCTACCTATCTGGAAAAAACTTGTCGATATACACCTAAGGATAATAATGGTTATCTCTGAGTATTATTAGGATCAAGCAGGTTCTTTCATTTTCTTCTTTTTCTGTAGCTATAGCTTCTCAGTTTTTTTTAGGTGAACCCTGGAGGTTTCATTTTTCAGAAAAAAACAATAAAAGCAATTTGTTGACGTAAAGATGGAGTCCCTGAGGTTTGAGAGGCTGTAGGGAGGAGCTCAGTTCAGCCCTCCATTACGTTTGTTGTAAATGTTTTCTCTAAGAGTTACACATGCTTAGGAGAAAAGACTAACAAGACGGTGAGGGCGAAGGCTGGCAGTGGGTGGGTGGGTGAGACAACTCCTTGTCGTAGGGAGTTCACTTAGTGTGGGTGTCTGAGGCCATGTGGAGCAAGGTTCCACACCCAGAGAGGGGCTCCTTAGGAATCAGAGCAAACGCCTGCCGTCCCCTGCTGCACCGACCACGGCTGTCAGTGTCCTGCCCACGGTGGCCGCATTGAGTCTGCAGGCACAGCCCAGCTGGTCTGGGGACAGGGCTTACTAACCAGAACAGTAACACCAAATTCAGAACCCTCCCATTATCGGTCAGCCGTAGAGATGAGCTGTTCCACGTTGGCCAGTTTTCTAGGAAGAAGGTTCTCTTATTTTAGTGCCAGGTTCTTTTCCCTCAGTTTGATAGAAATCTTTCTACAAAGAACTTCCCATGTTTCTCAGTACAAACACCAAAAAGATTTTGGCCCTTTCTTAGCAGATCCTAATCCCTGCTTTGAGCGCTGGTTATGAACTGTGGACTCCTGGGGACACACTTTGTCCCTACACTAAATGACTCTAGGCTGTTTTCCCCAAGCAACCAGAACCGTCTGCCGTGTTATTGTTCTTTTCCGAATGTTTTCCATCTGCTATCAGGTGTCCTTCCCGTTTCCCTTCCTGCTTCTCTGAGAGGTTCAGGCCAAATGAGAATAGCACTACCCGAGACCCCCAGATCCCTGCCCCAAGACCGAGCCTT